GTAGGGCTTCTCGCCGGTGTGGACGCGTTGGTGGATGGTGAGCTCGGAGCGTTGGATGAAGCTCTTGCCGCACTCGGAGCACTGGTAGGGTTTCTCGCCGAGGTGGATGCGTTGGTGCTTGATGAGGTTGGAGGAGACGCTGAAGCATTTGCCGCAGACGTTGCACTTGTAGGGTTTCTCCCCGGTGTGCATCCGGCGGTGCTTGGTGAGGTCCGACTTCTGGATGAAACCCTTCCCGCAATCGGGACACTTGTAGGGCTTCTCGCCAAGGTGGGTCCGTTGGTGTTTGATGAGGTTGGAGCGGACGCTGAAGCTCTTCCCGCAGTCCCCACACTTGTAGGGCTTTTCTCCCGTATGCATCCGACGGTGCTTCACCAACGCCGAATTTTGCCCGAAGCTCTTCCCGCATTCGGGGCAGGTGTAGGGTTTCTCCCCCGTCTGTGTCCCCTGGTGCTTGACGTTCTCCGCCCGGTACGTGAAGCTCTTCCCACACTCGCTGCACTTATGGGTCCTCTCCGGTGCTGGTCGGGCACGGGTACCCCAAAGAAAGCTCTTCCCGCAATCCGTGCACTTACAGGATCGTTCACCGGTGCCGGTCAACAGCCGTTGGCGCTTGTTGGAGGCAAAGAAGCTCTTACCGCAATCGGTGCATTGGCAAGGCTGCTCGGTGCCGGCGTGGACGCGCTGGTGCCTCTCCAAGTGGGAGCTCTGGGAGAAGCTCTTCCCGCAATCCCCGCAACGGTAGGGTTTCTCACCCATGTGGATACGCCGATGCCGGTCGAGATGGGAGCTCCAGGCAAAGCTCTTACCGCAATCGCCGCACTGGTAGGGTTTGCCGGCGGCGTGGCTCCGTTGATGCTGCAGCAACGCAGCGTTCAAGCCAAAACCCTTCCCGCACTCCCCGCACTTGTAGGGCTTCTCGCCGGCGTGAGCGCGCCGGTGCTTGGCCAACGCGGCGCTCTTGGCAAAGCCCTTCCCGCATTCACCGCACTGCAAGGGCTTCTCGGGGGTTTTGGAGCCTTCGGAGCCACGAGGAGCCGGACAGCGACCGCAATCAGAGCAACGGCAAGCGGGTTCACCGGCGACGGCGTGGGTACGGCGATGCCGGTCGAGGTGGGAGCTCCAACTGAAGCTCTTGCCACATTCGGGGCAGGCGTAGGGCTTTTCGCCGGTGTGGATGCGGCGGTGCCGCTCCAGGTGTGAATTCCAGTTGAAACCCTTCCCGCAATCCCCGCATTTGTAGGGTTTTTCCTCCAGGTGTAATTTTTGGTGCTTCACCAAACTGGCGCTGGCGGGGAAACTCTTCCCGCAGACGCCGCATTGGCAAGGCGCCGCGCCGGCGCCGGTTCCGGCGTGTACCCGTTGATGTTGGATGAACGCCGAGCCGAC